AAGCATACGTGGCCAAGGGGAGCATTGACGGTGGGTTGGAGCAGGTCTTCACCACCGACAAAGGCAAAAAGCTCTCCTCGACGGTGAGTGTTGACAAACCATGTTTAAAAAGCCCCTCTCTTTCTACCTTGCATATAAAACATATCGACCAAAGCACTTTTCATGAGAGTGGTTTAGAAAGTTACAGGCAAAGGCTGCGCAATTTCTGATTTAGTTATCGTATGTATGTTATCCCAATTTGTGTCATGTAAAAAACGCACTGCTTTGAAAGTAAAATCAGGCTCTGAGAAAGGGACCACAGTTTAATTCTTTTGTTTGTTTTCTAGACCATGGCCAAGGCCGTCAAGAGGGAGTGGCAGAAACATGCCAGCAACATCGGGAAAGTCCTGCCACCCCTCACGGCCACGTTATGCAGGAAGATGGCGGTCTCCACGCTACGAGACGCTGGAGGAGACCGCCAGCAGCAGAGGGTGCTCGCCAAGCATATGGCCCACAACCCTAGGACGGCGGATCGCTATTATGATAGAGCAAGCCAGAAGAAGGAGCGAGTTGGCGTCTGGGAGAAAATAAACCAACTCTACAAGGTAAAATATCCACATTAAGTGATGCGGAGGGTCGTTTCTATCCTCTATATTGTAGTACTGAAACGTTGCTTCTGAAAAGAAATTAATGATGAATTTGCTTGTACCTAAAGACATTTTGAAATACTACTTGTCATTGCAGGTGTCTAGTCAACCCTTAAATGACCCCCCAGACGCTGACAATGACCTCCAGTCTCCGCCGTCCAGAGCACCCTCTGAGAGCGACAGCGACAGCCCCGTTGTAAGTTTTAGTTAAATGAAATTTTGTAACGTTTCTATTGAATTAAGGCGATTTTGGACAATCTAAATATAAGGACTGAATGAAAAGCATTAGAAAAGATAAACAATTGGAAGACTGGTGGTCTAAAAACATTAAAATGTTAGGACCGAATTAAGGTGTGGAGAAATTGAAATATTATGCATTTCTCTATTTAATTTCTGTATTAATTATCCCAATTTTGGTTGTAGCCACCTTCACCTGACCATCATTATCACAGGACGGGGTCAAGTTTTCCATAAACAGTCGCTGTCGCCTGCACCGCTGCACCGCTGCACCACCCAGCTTAATTTATTGTACTGTTTAACTTATATTTTGTAAATATTTATTTAATAACTATTTAACTTATTCTTTGTATATATATTTATCTAATAACTATTTAACTTTTTTTGTATGTAACAATTTAATAACTACTTATTGCTTGTACATATATTTATTTAATAACTATTTAACTTAGATTTTGTATATGTTTAACTATTTAACTTGTTTTTTGTATATATGTAACTTATTTTTTGTATATATTTATTTAATAACTATTTAACTATATGTTTAACTATTTAACTTATTTTTTTGTATATGATTTGATAACTATTTATCTGATTGCAATTAATTTGAAGAAATGGTTTTGTATGTATTATTATCTAATAACTATTTAACTTATTTTTTGTATATATTTATTTTTAATTTGTATAAATGGTTTTTGTATCTGTATATTTAATAACTTTTCAACTTATTGTAATATATATATTTATTTGATAATTAGTTAACTTAGATATCTGTATAAATGGTTTTGTATATACTTATAATTGTAAATTTTGAATGCTGATAATGTTGTAAAAAAAACTTTTATGATTTATTTTAAATAAATGTTGTAAATATCTTAAATACATGGTTTCTTTGTAATTTATTGGTATGCTGGTAGGAGGTCGAAAAATTGTGATTCAAATTTAAGGACCGAAATTGAAAATTTCATTTTTCATTGCATTTTTTTGAAGACAAATTGAGCAACAATGTTATTTGAAATCATTCACTACCCTCCAAAATCGTGCAGGAGTCGCTTGGCTATCGGCGACACTCTATCAGATAAATGGTGCCCTCCCAATGCAAAAACTCGGTCCTTAAATTTTGATCACAATTTTCCAACCTCAACTTTTAGCAGAGTCAGACAGCTGGAACAGAACACTTGACGAAGTGAAACATTGATTCTATAATTCAAACACTCAAACAAAACACCACACGTTGTTTTCGTCTTTTCTTTTCGTCATTAGTCGAGGTGCACATTTGAAAATGCTAATTAAATTTACTATGACGGCTAACATTACACCCACTAAGACTGAGACAAGAACATCTAAATTTAAGGACAAAAGTGACATTTGCAGCATCAATATTATCCAAAGTAAGACGATATAAATCACTTGATATTGATAATTTAGTAATGGTATGAAGGTTAAAATGTTCAATATGCTATTCTATGCATTGTGGCAAAAGATC